AGATCCCTTCCAACTCTTGTTATTCTGTAACATTGTACTATTGCAACTGTTCTCTGTAGGTTTTTGCAAGTGAAATAAAGACCAAAGCCCAGAATGAATTTTGTCAGCTTTGTATGAACTGGTAATCAGGAACACTGTTAAATATTGCTCTCTTTGTCTGGGCAAACTCACAGATGGTTTGCATGGACAAAACAAGAAGCAAAGGAGTAGTGCTCTAATTTTGCCTGTCCAAGCCTTATGAAGTTTTTTAAAAAATGAATTCCCCCTCTCTAGATTTATCGCCATCCCTGCTTTATGTAAATCCAAAATACCCTTAGAATCCTTGGTGGATTTCAGCTCTCAAAATCTTTCTAAAGGTTGCCATTGAATTATAATTTTTAATGTGATCAAAGTAAAAAATAAATACAGGGAAGTGAAAGCCATTCCACTAGTTAATTGAGAAAGGATGATGGGAGTTGTGATCCAAGAACACCCAGAAGACTTTTCTATTGCCATTGCCAGGGCTTTTTTTTCTCATAGAATGCCCAGAACGGAGTTCCGGCACCTTTTTCGGATGGAACCTTGTAGGGTAGGCAAGGCAGGTTGTATGACATGTTTGAGTTCTGGCACCTTTTTTTTTTTTTTTAGAAAAAAAGCACTGGCCATTGCCACCTGAAAGTTCAAGGTTGAAGAGCATTGGAGAACATTGGAGACTTCACTGACCAGCTGGTTGTGCTCCTATAGTGGGGGGAAAAAGTGGGGAGATAGAAGGGGCCTTCTGAATGGTTGATTCATTAGATTTTATTTTAAAAAACAGTGTATTTTCAGTTAAATTGTAGGGGTTCATGCATGCAAGGAGCTCTATCTTTTGTCTAGGAGAATACTTTGTTCGGAGTCAATTTTGGGGAGGTAGGATCGCTGGTTGAGCAATATCTGAAGAGAGTTATGGTTCTCCCACCTCTGTAGTAGTTCCTTCTTAGTCCAACAAATGGAACCTGCAATCAAAGTTTGGGCTCAACCAGATTTCTTTTTATAGGTTTACAATGAAATTACTTCTGGAAGCGTTCCACCCCTCCTCATAATGCCTTCTCCAGCCCTAAGCGCACCTCTGTGGGCCGAATCTGAACGAACAGCTTGGGAATGACTTGACAGTCAAACATACTTTGGGTACTGTATTCTCATGCACAACACACATCCAAATAAATTGAGTGTCAGCAAAAGAAAAAGAGGGCCAGGCAGAGTAAGGTAAATGGCTCGTATGTTGCCTTGCCAAAAAGCTGACATGCTGACCCAGCAAGATGCACAAATAACTATAAGCCAAGGATTGTTATTAGCGGATTGGTGAAGGTGTCCTGAAATCAGGTGAGGGAAATGGATATAAGATTCAGCCTGGGACTTCAGTAGAGAAAAGTGAGAAGAAATATCTGCCTCTCATATATTAATTTGATCTGGCCATTCGAATCTGTGGTTACAAATCTCCACAAACCGATTGCACAGTTTCCTAATAATGCAACTATCTTCTGGAACAGATGACATACTTCTCTAAAACGGCACAGGGCAACCACACGGAACCTAAAGGGAAATCATTTCTCTCAAAGAAATTGCACATCGTTCCTTTAGCCAATATCCTTTTAACAGAACGATGTAGACACTGAAATGGCAACAGGCCAACAGGATGTAGTGCCTTTAGAAATCTGACAAAAAAAGGAGCTGAAATACAAAGGAATCCCACTTTATTGACAGCATGCACACACTGCAAGATCCCTCACCATCAACCCAGGCAAAAAAAAAAAAAAGCTCCTTTAACTATCCCTTCTATTTCCATCTACAAAGACATTTGTAACAGCAAGAAACTCCTTTTTTTGTTTAAATAAATGTCCTGGGGTAAGCTGTGGGACTAAGTGTAAAGTTTATAAGGGGTTGGTTTTCCAATTAACATTTTGGCAGCCCAACTTTTTCAACTGCTGTTGAAAAAGCCACTCAGGGCCATCTTTTTAACAATGGCAATGAGTTTTTGAAGTTTGTGGGCTAAGCTTCACTTAGTTGATGTAGAGTTTCAAGAAGTAATGTGCCCATTTCTGGAGCATCTCTGCTCTGAGATGAATTGGCTAGGCATCTTCCATATCTGCTTTTCTTTGTTATTTCCATGGATGGTATGTATGTATGTATGTATGTATGTATGTATGTATGTATGTATGTATCCATTTTCTCCATACATTTGAATGAGAAGAAATCCTTGCAAACCCCATCAGAATAAAAGCCAGGCAGAGAAAATATAGCAGATTGCACCAGAAATGCATTATCTAGCTGAATTTTGGATGCTATGCAGCAGTAGCATCCCTGCTGTGCTGAGGTGATGAAAACAAGCATACCAGATTAAGGGGAAAATGTAGTATGATGGATCTGAAAAGCAATTTTTCCAAGAGATGAATGAAATCTCTTCTTGAAGCCCTTGAAAGATCCTTTATCTTATGTGCTCTCCCCCCCCAAAAAAATAATGTGTTGATTTATTTGCATGCCAAATGTGTCAACTCCTGTTGTAGGCTGGATTAAAGTTTCTCTTCCAGATATTTGGTATTAGAATGTAATCAGAACAATGGCAAAGCTTCATTACTTTTCTCAAGTAAAGCTCGCCACACACACTCACACACTCACGTGGAAGCACACAACTGGGCTTGGCCAAGGCATTGCTTTGGAGAAATTAGGTCCAAATTCCTTTCTTTGCTTCCTTAGTTTTATACAAAGTCTTGTTCCTGGGAAATATAAATCTTGTCCAGAATTAGCTGAGATTCTTGAAAAATTAGTCACTTTCTCCTTGTTCTCTGTTTTATTTATCAGAACGTGTTTCAATTACCAGGACTTTCAGTTTACTCACCTTGCCTTCCTTTATAATTTTTTTTACCCTGCATACATGCTGGCTCTGCTTTCAATTTAGGACAGAGAGTCCATAAATTTATACAGATAACTCTGTATTAAGACACAGAATTTACATTCCAGAGTAAACAGAGAAAGGTTTTTAAGGCCCTGGTGAAGCAAAGGGGTTTAAAGTCATGGTTGGGTTGGCATGTAGGAATAGAATCATTGCCATCAGCGTGGCCTCCATGTGATGATGTCAAGCCATCAAATTGATGTTGATTACTTAGCAACCACAGATAGGTTTTTCTTCAGGCCAAATTGAAGACTGTTACCAGCCCGATCCTTTAGATCTTCCAACGGTACACCTTTTGCCATTGTCACTGAGTCCATTCACTTTGCTAATGGTTGCTCTCTTTTTTCTCTTTCCTTCCACTTTCCTCAGCTTTTAGGACTTCTCCAGAAGACTTTATACTTTGCACAAAGTATCAAAAATATAATTTATGCCTCAAATGAGAACTCTGGATTGATTTGTTCTTTGACAAAATTCCACTGGATCTTCCTCACCTTACCTCTTTTCTAGGGAAGTTATTTTCAGGTAACCACTAAACACTAAGTCTTCAGCCATGGTTTTGAATTCTTGAAGGAGAGTTGCATTATTTCCTCTTCCTTTACTATATATTCTGCCTATTTGGTGTGGCTTTTTTTATGTGTGGGTCACCATTGCCCAGGGGGGACATCCAGTTGGGGATTCCTTTCATGTCCCCATTAGGAGCTGGGGTGAATGACAGAAGCTCAACTCCACCCCAAGGCAGCACACTGGTCTCCAACATGGGCTTGCTAACCTCCAGCCCAGTGTTTTAACCATTTGAACCACTGTGCTCCTATCTGTGATTGGAAAATCCTTATAACTCAGTCTGCAATTGGGAAGTCTTATCATCCAAGAGCTACATTTGCAAAAAGAGTCAGAAAGAAACAGTGCCTAATTTTTTTGCAGATATTTACATTACACTCATGGGTGATCAAGGGTGTTTGGGAAAAACTAACATACAAGTTATTCTGTACATGTGCTCTGTGGAAGAATTTCTAGTGTTTAAGACAAACCTATTTGCAGTAAAATACAGCCAGAAAGGAAACTCTTGAATATAAATGAAAAATTCCTTCATAGGAACTCATTAGTTTCAAAGCGTAGATAATTAAACTACTGTAAATAGTGGTAAACAATATCAGGTTACCAAGGAGATCTAGTGCTTCAAGGGCAAGTAAGATTCTAGGCACTTTCTTATCATAACAAAGTAGTTACATAAACAAACTTCGTTATAGTGTATAATTAAAGTGCAGAGGTCTACTTATTAAAATTATAAAGGCAACTCCTCATTTTTATCCTTGTGGCTAAATAATTGCCTATGTAATTGGCTTTGAAACTGTACGGCACGTGTACTCAATCGTAATGGTTTGCAACCAACATATACTGGGTTTGTGGTCCCCAGAGAGTGAGGATCCAGTGATTCACTGTATTAAAAATTATAGCGAAATGATTGTTTGGATCCTTTCCTCAAATTCCATCCAAGTTTATTGGGTGCTGTTTCTACCACTGATCATTGTAAGACAGGGCTCCCCAACCCCCTGGTCTGCAGCCTGATGCTGGGCTGTAGTCCGTTTGGAACTGGGCTGCAGAAGTGGTGGGAGAGTGTGCACGTGAAGCTGTGTTTGTGAAAAGTGACACATACGCAAGCAAAACCATCCTCTCTAACACTGTTCCTCCCCCCCCCCCACTGCTGCCTCCACCAGTCTGCAGAGCCAGAAAGGATGGGGAATGCTGTTGTAAGAGAAATTCCGGAACAGGGCTTTTGCAAGAGTTAGCTATTTAGCAATAAAACCCACAAAGCATTTTTCAGTACTTTTAAAATTACTCATTTGCCCAAAGTCAAACATTGAGAAGTGCCATCTGCAGGCCCTTCAGCCTGACAGTGGACACCATCATTCCTCAACCAGAGTTAAATAAGGTTGTTGTTATTCAACTTTGGAATCCGTCCAAACCACCTACAATCATATATCTTGCTGCTGATTAATGACAGCAATAAATTTGATCTGATCACTTCTGGTATTTTTCTCCTCCCGCTACCAAGAACCGCAGCCTTTTGCATCTCTTCATTTATCTGGCAGCACCCTTAGTGGTTGACTTGTTTTTGACCCTGTGGGTGTTTTCCTCTCATTTCTGTGAATCCTGCTCCCTATAAAAGAGGGACCAGTAGCAAGGAGGAAGAGGGTGAGCACAGGCTGTGCTCCTTTCCTCAAATCCAAAGAAATCTCAGTTGTGAAAGGTAAGAGTTGTGGTGGACCTTTGTCCAGTATCTTTGTATTCTCTTTGTATCATGCAACAGGTAGCTTGTATTCTATATGATGGGATGACCCAGCTTCCTCTTTCAACAGATGTTTAACCCACTATTCTGTTCCCCCCCCCAGAGAAAAATTACTTTCTGAAGAATAAACTGGTATTCTTTTCTTGCATCTTGTCAAACAGGTTTCATTAGCAAAAGAAAACCATAGTAGAAGAAAAAAAACATAGACAAAAAGAAGAAAGAAAGATCTGCTTTCAACTGTACACAAATACAGTATAACACCCAATATGAGTTTCCTTAAACAGATATAATCACATAAGGAAATTGGCTGTCTGCCACAGGGCATTGAGTAAGACATTGGATCTTGTGCAAGGAGAGAATTTTGCTTTGTTTACATGCTTGGTGATTATTTTTTTTTCCTAACAGCATAGCAGAAATTGCCTATTTTTTTCTTAACAGGTTGGAAAGATCTGGAGATATTTTTTTAAAATTTTTTTTTTTACTGCTCACAGAGGAAACTGAGAGCTGCCTTGGACTCCATAAGTGCTGCTAAATTTTGAACTGCATTTGGGGAAGGTGGGGAAAGAAAGGGGAACCAAAAAAACAAGCAAATGGGAAAGGTTTGCCCTGCTGACTAATACATCCATAGAAAATTAGTATTTCATCAGGAAATCTCTACACCATTCGATGGCCATAGTTCATATTTACATCCTATGTAATATTTCTTCTTATATTCCTTTTGTGTCCTGTAGCGATGGGGCTGCTGCTGCTACTCTTTTTGGCTGGTTTAATGCTACAAAATGGTGAGTAAGCCCCAACCCAATGGAGGAAGCTCATCCCCAAATCCCATGCCAGTCCATCCATGTCTGTCTTCTCTTTCTCTCCTGACCCATGAGAGCCAATGTGTCATTGTGTTGAAGGTGATGGACTAGAACTGGGGAAATCCAGATTTTAAATGAACCTTAACTGGCTAGGATGTACCCAATATTTGAAATCCCACAATTAGATATTAGACCAGGACTGGAGAGATCCTAAAAAAATCATCTCTCTCTCCCTGCCCTGCCCTCCCTCACAGAGATGTGGTCATTGGGTAATCTTGAACATCCATCTCAGTCAGTCAATCAGTCAGTCAGTCTCTCCCTCCCCCTGTTGTTCTCAAAACTGAGTCTTAGCTTGATGTCGAAGCCAATTAATTACACCAAACCCAAGGTATGGAAAAACAGATTTTTATTTTAATAGCAAGATGAAAGTGACCTTGGCTTTGAAAGCTACCCAGGCCCCGTTTACAGTTTTACAACAGTTTTTATAATCAAAGGTAATTTTCATACACCCCTCTGCCCACCCAACACATCCCTTTTCCCTCCCCCTGATAATACATGCATAACATATAATATTGATTGGTTATCTGGATTGCAGCCCCCTAAAGCTTTCTCGCTTGCTAGGCAAAATAGCTAAATGTCACACCACATCAGGTCATGGGAATATTGCAAAGCTTCTGGTGTCCTGTGCCAGCTACGTGGTTTTGGGTTTTCTTATAAGTGAGCTATTCATAGACCCAACATCCTGGCTAAGTGGTTGAACCTGTGAATCTGTCTCATTTCATTGTCCCTGCACCCCCCATCCCTCGCAGCCCCCCTAACGTGTCAACTGTTAGCAAGCTTGTCTGCCAAACCCTCAGTGAGCAGAAAGGAAAAAAGCTGTTAAAGAAAAAGTTGTTTAAGAGTAAATGTTTCTGTCGAATTTATCTTCCTCACTCCCATGTCCATCACAGCCACACCTGGGTCCTATCTCCACAAATGACCCTTCTTCTGATCCCCAGGGCCTCATCTGCACCTACATTCTTTCATCTGACCCTTCACCCCCCCCCCACAACTCTTTCACAGACTTGTGGGACACACTATGTGCTGCCTAAAGTTCCTGAAGTGAAAATGTGAGAAATGTAAGGAATAATAAAATAAATTAAACTTGTAGGCCTATTATCTCTTCAATAGTGATAAGGAAAGTGAAACATAAATTATTGGTGCCTTTAAATTTAGCCCATGGCCCTTTCCCAAATGTATTCCCCCCCCCCCCGCTTTTTTTACTTTTTTCTTTTTTGGGGTATTTTATTGTTTTAATTTCCTGAGCTTAGTTTTTCATGCCTTTCCATCTTTCCCTCAGGCCAAGGGTTATCAAGCTCCCAGGGAAAGCAATTCATCACTGCTTTCATGGAAAATTTTGAGACCAATAGGCCTTCTGAAACAAGCTTGAAGCTATTTCTCGTGGGCCACGGCAATGACACCAGAGTCACTGTGACAGTGACCAGGTCTTCATCCCGCCAAATTTACTCAGTTGCAGGAGATGAAACGGTACCTGTGGATCTCCCCACGAGTTTGGAAATGAAAGGCAGTGGCTTTTTCACCCATTCCATTGTGATTGAGGCTGAGCATGACATTTCAGTGGTCTCATTTAATCGGAAATTGTATTCTATTGCAAGCATGACAGTCCACCCAGTCCATGAGCTTGGCAGTACCTATTACATCATCACACCTCCTGGCTCCAAAGTGGCAAGTTACCAGAAAGAACTGGCTGTCATAGCTTGGCAGAATCCTACCCAAGTCACCATTGAACTGCAAGGTGAAGTCGTCTACCAGGGACAGTCGTATGGGGCAGGGCGTACCCTCACAGTACCCCTCAAAGCTTTCCAAGTTCTTCAGTTGCAAAGTGATGATGACTTGTCTGGCACCAGGCTTCAGTCCTCAGCTCCTGTGGCAGTCTTGAGTGGCCATGTCTGCGTTCAGGAAAATTATTACTGTGACCACGTTGCTGAGCAACTTCTGCCAGTCTCCAAGTGGGGCAAGACATTCATCATTCCTCCCGTGCCTCTGCAGACTGGTTTGGATATTATCTATGTGGTGGCTTCTCAAAACACACGTGTTGTTTATCAGTCAGGACAGAACAAAGGCTTTCAAGATATGGTGGGTGGAGAAATCGCCCAGTTTCCACTCCAGTTCCCTCAAGCATTTTACATCTCTGCCGATGCTGGAATCCAGGTTGTTTTGTTTTTCACTGGGATCAAGACCGGGAACATAGGATATGATCCATTTCTCATCAACATCCCTGACATCAGCAGTTATGGCCTGGCCTACCGTATTGATGGTCTCAGAAAGTTTGATAACCATATCCTTATCATAGCAAAAAGCTCTGAATCCGTTACCTGGGATAAATCTGTTGTGGCAGGCGTGCAATGGCAATTGATCCCTGACTCAGAGTACTCATGGGGAGAATATCAGTGGAAAGCTGATATTAACCAACGGTCTGTTTTCCTCGAGATTCTTCAAGCTCCGTTTGGTGTTTTGGCCTATGGAAACAAGAATTATGAAGGCTACGGCTTTGCTCCATCACCTTTTGGCACACTCGGTAACTAATTGCCCTTTGTATAATAATTAGCACTATGACTCATATTCTAAGATTCTCTCATAATTATTTCTTTTGAGTTAGAAGGGTTTCTCACATGATTGCTAATGCTGTGTCAATGATCTGCCCTCTAATTTCCTCTAAGTTTTCTCCCTGGGTATTTTCATTTTATTTTTGGTTGTAGGTTTCTTTAATGTTATCAGAGGCTGAATGCTACAGTTGCTTTCTTTCACTCTCAGCCATTTTGCAGCTTCCCTCGACTTTCTGATCTAAAAAAAAGCCTCATAGAGAATTTTTCTGTCTAATTTACTTTAAAAAGACAATCATTTATTACATAGACAAATGTAACAAAAAATAAGTAAGGGGGAAAAAAGCAAGATGTAAAGAAGAAGAGGTTTACAAGCACTGTAATGTTTAACTCCCTCCCTCACAAACAAAAATGAAATGACAGCAATGATAAATCTAAAAAATATAGCATATCAGTCTGAAAGCTGAAATCAGTGTTAAAATTGGAAGTCTTCCCTTTGGATTAAAATGAGGCACAATAACCCAGAGAGGTTGCAGACTACTGAAGAGAAAATGGGATGTTTTTCTGTAGCCATGGTACTTTACAGAAGTACCACAGGGCGGGATAATAATAATAAAAAAAAATCAAGATGGCAGCCACAATGACATAATGGAAGCTACACCTTCATCTTGACTTATTTTTTTAACCATATTCTGCAGTCATCCCTGATACTTGTTAACTCTGATGTATGACAGGACCTCACAAGTCACCATTAAAAGAAAAATCAGCAAAAGTTGTTCTTTCGGAAACAGTAAATCAGTGTTTCCCAACCTTGGCTACTTGAAGATGTATGGACTTCAGTTCCCAGAATTCTGAGAGTGGAAGTCCACACATCCTCAAGCAACCAAGTTTGGAAAAAACCTATCTAAATTAAGATTTTTTTTCTTTTTAATATAGTGTTGCAGATAGCATGCCTTGGATTTTGATTATTTAAAGGTTGTCGAAAGACATTGAAAGGTGGGGAAGTGATGCCTCATCAGATCAATTAGTGCTCAAATCATGGAGCACCAGCACATTCCAGAGTTATAGGCTAGATTGAGAACTTTAAAAAAAACTTTTAAAAAAGATCCTGGGATAAGATAATGTCTTTTGTAGTATTGCTCCCAAAATTATATAGATTTGTCTAAAAAGTCACAAGAACGTTAGATTCAAGTCCTTTTTTTTTAATTATAAGAAGGAAAAACTGAATAGAATGTTGAATGAAAAAATTTCATCAGGATCCCGTCCAAGCCGGGAATAAACAACATGGTGACTGCTTTAGAAAGAAAGTTGCAGTTTACTGAAGAGGAGAGTCAGACAGAAGATGGCTCTGGAAGAAAAGTAGGGAGTGGGTTTTTATATCCTCTGTGGTTCTTGAGGTTGTTTCCTGTTTCTGTTTGAGGCTTTGTATTTTCTGTGTCATGTACTTTGACCTGAATCTGAGTCTGCCCCTTTGGCATCTGTGGGTTAATCCTATTATGTCCTGTCTTAGAATTTGGGTGGGGTATGTAGATTTTATATGTCTTTGTCTTCCTAAGCTTCTAGCTGGAGGGCTCCAACCTTCCTGAATGGATTATCACATCTGCATTTCTATAGAGCTGGTTTCTGCTTGGGGGAGGGAGACTTGGGGCTATTAAGAAAAACTGGACATGCTTTTCTGCCTCTTTAAGATCCTTTGAGGAAATATAATGTTTTGCCCATTTAATATTTCCTTCTCTGGGGGAGGGTGACTTCCCACAAGAAAGTCATCTGGCATGTATCGCTCAGGCAATTCTCATTGTGAAATCTTTTTCTTGAACATTTATGTATCATGCTGAAAAAGTTACAGATCTTCCAACGGGAAAAAATTGACCAAATAAACAAGGTTGAAATCATTTCCTGAAAGTCAAATACAGCTTTCATCACTTGCAAGCCAGTTTCTCAAGCTGTACTAAATTACTCTGAAAACTTATTTACTTATTAAGCATGCACACAGAGAGCTGTGTTTTCAGAATGATTTCATAGCAAAGAACAGATGGCTATAATCGTTATTGGTATCATCAGTTTACATTTCAGCTCACAAACAAAGCCCAAAACTTTGCCAAGATCATAGCTGAGTTCCTTAACCCCATCTCAAGAGTGGACATTTCTTGCTTACTCTGAGAGAACGGGAATGATTTGGGGAAGTGTGTGTGAGGTTGCAGTGGGTTGTGTAGCTGGGGTTGGATCCTATACTTGGCAGGCCTTACATTTTGTGTCTTTTCCACTTGATATGTGGGGTATTTTCTTATTTTGTCATTTGTTCAGGGGCACAAAGTGTATTTTAGCCCACTTCATTGAACCAATGTTTCTTAATCTCAATAATTTTAAGATGTGCGGAATTCAACTCCCACAATTCCTCAGCCAACATGCTAGTTGGGGAATTCTGGGAATCAAAAACCATACATCTTAAAATTGCTGATGTTGAGAAACACTGCATTAAGGCAAAGGGATGCAGTGAAACACGAAGTGGAGGACCTGTTTAATCTCAGTTCCTAAATATTCGTGTATTTGTGTCAATGCTCCAATATAACATAGCATTATGGCCTCCAGGATTGGAGAAAGAGCCCTAATATTGCTGAGATTCCTTCTGCTTCTTTTGATCGTTGTTTTGCATAGCTCCAGTCCCAGTCCCAGATCCTGTCCAGTTGACCTGCCCCGAGAACAGCCACTACCTATCCTGTGGAAATGCCTGTCCTGCAACATGTTCTGACCGAACTGCTCCATCCAGATGTAAAAATACCTGTGCAGAAGTCTGTCAGTGTGACCCAGGCTACCTCTTCAGTGGAGAGAAATGTGTTCCCCAGGAGAGTTGCAACTGCACTTACAAAGATGTGACCTACAGAGCAGGAGAGGAGTTTTGGGCAGATGAAAACTGCCAGTCCCGTTGCAGGTGTGATAACAAGTTAGGCAAAACTGTGTGTGTGAAGTCTTCTTGCAAAGCCAAGACAAAATGCATTGTGGTGAATGGTGTTCGTGGTTGTCACGCCACTACCTACAGTACCTGCATTGCATCTGGGGATCCACATTACCTTACATTTGATGGAACCAAATATGATTTTATGGGAAGTTGTGTGTATCAGCTGGTGGGCATCTGCTCCAAGAACCCAGCCCTCACCCCGTTTTTGGTCACAGTGGAGAACGACATCCGAGGCAATAAGGCTGTGTCCTTTACCAAAGCGGTGACCTTGGAGGTTTATAACATGACCATAAGCCTGAGCAAAAGTGCCCCACGTCAGATTGAGGTATGGTGGTTGAATATTGGAGAAGCATGGGGGAGGTGTAAATTTGGTATTTGGGAGTGCTTAAAATACTCTGCAGAAGCACGTCCAGTCTGTTTCATGCATTTTTCATTTTTCCTATATAAGGAGAATTGGGTAATTTTTAGAGTAAAGTTCAAGAGAGTGCTTTAGCTCTACTTTGGAAAATGGAGAGAAATATTACCATAGATATGGACTTTTGCTGTTTCTATGGGGGGGAAAGTTGAATCCTTCAAACCATTTACTGAAGTTCTTCCATTACAGAAAATACTTATGGAAACTACTCTCAATCCTGGTTCTTCTTAATTTTGTAACAAGAAATTTACTTAAAAGTGATTTACAAGGCTGTATTTTATGCAGAATAGTCAACTTTTTGTTTGATGACTCCAAACAAAAGGAGAGAGAAGAGAATACTAAGTGTAGGGGTCCTTGGTGCCCTCTGAGCTTGGCTGGTTTTTTTTTTTTTTTTTTGTAGACATTTCATTATCCAAACTAGATAACATCCTCAGCGCTAGCTATTACCTAGTTTGGGTAATGAAACATCTGCAAGGAAACAACCAAGCTCAGAGAGCACCAAGGACCCCTCATTTCAACCTTGAGCTACAGGTATTTTCATTTACCAGAATGATAAGTGCCAATGAAATAGTTTTTATGTGGCCAATTAATTAATTAATTAATTAATGACATCAGAGTCTCCCCTTCTGTATCCTTGTACCAGAAGGGAACTTTAATGCAGGAGATAACCCTGCAGGTAATATGCAACCATGCCACAGAAATCTGCTGATGCTAGGTTTGGTCTGATAAAGAGCATAGTAAGAGCTAGGTTTGGTCTGATAAAGAGTATAGCCAAATCCTACAAGCACTCAGCAAAAGATCAATCCTGGCTGGAGAGATTAATATCTGATAGTTTTCATATGATAAGGAATCTTCTTCTGTATTATGGTAGAGCAAAGGTGAGCAAAACCTAGAAGGCAAGTCATAAATTCTGCATTGGTTCCACAGCTAATCTTAAATCATTTCGCCTATAGCAATTTAAAGCATTTTCTTGAGCCATCCAACTCTCATTGAATCAATATCAAAGGCTATATATCACTTAAGTAGTGGCTGGGTGATGCCATAAAGACACTTTCTGAATTTGCTAAAAGCCCCTGGATGGTGTCTCTTGTTTGTCTTTTAGATCAATGGAGTTTTAGTGGATTTACCCTTTTCTTACGAAAATAAACTGAATGTCTACCAGAGTGGGGTCCATGGCTTCATTCAAACTGATTTTGATTTGACCGTCACTTATGACTGGTGTAGCTACAGCAGGGTGATTCTTCCCAGTACGTATGCCAATTTGGTCTGTGGACTCTGTGGCAATGCCAACCAGAATCCTCACGATGACTTTGACATGCAGGATGGAAGTCAAACCAGTGATATAATACAATTTGCAAACAGCTGGAAGGTGAAGGATGTCCCTGGGTGTGCTACAGGATGCACCGGTAAATGCCTACAATGCAGTGACACTGAGAAACGAACCTACCAAGCTGAACGTTATTGTGGGATCCTCACCAAACGAAATGGACCATTTGCACCCTGTCACAGGACTATTAACCCAACCAAATTCTTTGAAGATTGTGTCTTTGATACCTGCACATACAAGGGACATCCAAATGTTTTTTGTGAGGCCATCGCTACTTATGCAACTACCTGCCAAGCTCAAAATATCCAGATTAAGCCATGGCGATCAACCTCCTTTTGCAGTATGTATAATTTTATAAATTTTTGCGATGGGGATTTCTTTCTCATTAAGACTTCGGCTTTTATTATTCCAAAGCATGAAACATGAATAATGGTATATAAGTTACAGGAAGATACAGTCCAACTAAATCAATTCTATAAGCTAGAGAGGCATCTGAAATCGATGAAACTTTAATAATATTATTTATTTATTTATGAGACTTATATACCGCTTTAAGTGCAAGCACTCTCTAAGCGGTGTACACCAGGAAGCAATGTATATATATATTTACATTGCCCCCAACAATCTGGGTCCTCATTTTACCTACCCCGGAAGGATGGAAGGCTGAGTCAACCTTGAGCCGGTGAGATTTGAACCGCTGTCCTGCTGAACACAGTCAGCTAAAGTGGCCTGCAGTACTGCACTCTAACTGCTGCGCCACTTCGACTCTATTAATTCCATTCTTCTTTCCATCAAGTTTCAATTTTTGGGAGTTATCAATATCCAAGCAGAATAATTAACACTTTTTAAACCACTGCTGTTTAAATATAAAGCAGTTACTGTGTCACTTAGATTTTCCATTATCCTGGGATCTATTTAATAACCAGAATTTTGGAGAACATTTTTCTTTCTTCATAGTCTTATCTCTCATGTTAAAATCTGGTAAATGGAAATAGTTGGCTATTTGTATATTTTAATGATTTAACTGAATTACTGAATCATTTTATCCATAGCCCACGGCTAAAATATCTGAAGAAAGAGCATATTTAATATTTTGACGCTATGCCAAATGCCATAGGAAACAGCCTTTTTGAAAGACATTTCTTCTAGAATTAGTGATGAAGAGAAAGGCCTTTTTCCCCCTTAGACATTCCCAGTAGATCACATCTTTATCCCATTTGTACTGTTCCAGACACTTAAGGCTTCAATAGAGGAGACAGGAGATGTTGTTGTAAGTCTTACTTGAAATAAGCAGCATATATTTCTCAGCAAACATTATTAGGTTGCAAGGGAGAAATGGTATAAATTTTTAGCTCTAATTAGTGCAGGAAGAGAAGTTTCCTTCATTTACAAGGTGGATAGAGAGCAATCTAAGCATAGAAAGGGAAGTGAGGCAGTAATGCTTGTCCTGCACTAGAAGGATTGGATATAGAGTTCTTATAAATAAGCACAAATAAAAAGGATCATGAACACGATGCCCCCCCCCACAAAATAGATGTTTCCAAATTCATATACAGGTCAGCTTTCTCCATTTGGAACTCCATGCACAAGATATGGGAATGGGTGGGATATTTATTTTTATTTGATTATTTATATCCCACCATTATTGTTCGTACAAATAACTCAAGGCAGTGAAATATCCACCACACCTTCCTCCTCTTATTTTCCCAACCACACAACCCTCTGATGTGGATTGGACTGGGAGAGAATGGCTGCTAGCCGGATTTCCTGCCTAAGGAGAGATTGGAACTCTCAGTCTCTGGTGATTGGCTCAAAGTCAGCCAACTGGCTTTCATGCCTAAGGTGGGACTTGAATTCATGGTTTCCTGATGATTGGCTCAAAGTCACCCAACTGGCTTTCATACCACTTGAACTCATGGTCTCTTGCTTTCTAACCTGGTAACTTAACCTATTAGTGATAGGCCTCAAAATATTTGGAAATCCGAGCAACATATGGATGGGTCAAAAGTAATATAACTTCAGGGCTCCTAAATTCAATACTTGGAATGCTGTTTTGACAAGCTGTCTCATCGTCCATCTCTTCCAGGTTTTTCCTGTCCACTTAATTCTCACTATGAATTGTGTGGAAATGGCTGCCCTGCCACCTGTCACAGTTTTGTCACTCCCAGTTCTTGTGATGCTCCATGCACTGAAGGGTGCTTCTGTGATTCTGGATTCATCCTCAATGGGGATGAGTGCGTCCCCGTTGCTGAGTGTGGTTGTGTGCATGAGGGCAGGTACTACAAAAAGAGAGCAGAGTTCTACCCTACGAACACTTGTCAGGAGAAGTGTCGTTGTGTGGACGATGGTGCTGTTGACTGCCACCAGTTTTCCTGTGGGAGTTATGAGGAGTGCAGGGTGGAGAATGGCATCCAGGGCTGTTACCCTATTGGTTATGGAACAGTGGCAACGTCCGGTGGATTCCATTATATTACCTTTGATGGGAAGACTTTTGATTTTCCTGGTTCCAGCTCTTACATCTTAACTCGAGTAACCGACAAAGATAATCAGCAGGTGAAGTTTTCTGTAGTGGTGGAACATGAGAATGCAGATAATGAATCTTTACTTGATATAACATCAGTTGTTACCTACATACATGGATATACTATTGTTCTGGAGAGAGGAAAGAGATGGCAAGTTAAGGTAAGTGCCTAAATTATTAACTTACGATAATATCTCTTTGTGAGTAACTATATGAAAAATAATGTGAACAATAACTATACTTCTCTGTATTAAACCTTTGATTTAATTTTTTTTTTTTTTAGTTTAGGTTCTATACTTTCCTCTTTATTCCTTAAAAAAAAAACCAAAATAGCATTCAATGGATTTATGGCAGGGGTTTTCAAACTTGGCCTTTTTATGACTTGTGGACTTCAACTCCCAGGCATGCCTGGCTTGAGGAATTCTGGGAGTTGAAGTCCACAAGTCATAAAAGGGCCAAGTTTGAAGACCTCTGATTTATGGCAATGGATGGAAACTAATCAAGGAGAGCAGCAACATAAAACTAAGGACAAATTTCCTAGCAGTTAGAACAATTAATTAGTGGAATGACTTGCCTCCAGAAGTGGTGGGTGCTCCAAAACTGGAGATTTTTAAGAAGAGATTGGCCAGCCATTTGTCTGAAATGATATAAGGTTTCCTGCTTAAGCAAGGGGTTGGACTAGAAGACCTCCAAGGTCCCTTCCAAATTTGTTATTCTGTTATATATCAGACTATGAAGAAATGATCCCTTCTGTGCAATTCCAGATCCAAGACTTTATGTTATGCTTTTTTCTCTGTGTGCTGTAATGGATGCTGATGTTGGATTTAGGAGAGAATGATTCATACATTACATCAATGTTTTTCAACCTTGGCAATTTTCAAATATGTGGACTTCACCTCCCAGTATGAATACTGGCTTGGGAATTCTGGGAAATGAAGTCTACACATTTGAAAGTTGCCAAGGTTGAGAAACACTGCATTACACTACAGCAGTGAAGGTGAACCTTTTAGAGACCAAGTGCCCCAAAACCAGCCCCTTCCCATCCCGCCTGCTCCTCCCCCCCCTGCCTGCAGGGCCACTCATCGCCTCCATGGCCCATTGCAAATCACCCAGGTGGCCCAGCAGCACCATGGTGTTTATGCCCTCCACCCACACCCCGCAGCATCTACTGCGCGCGACAGGGCACGAGGGTGGAGTCTTGTCCCCGCTGCCTGGCTGCCATGTTTTTGGATGTACTGCTTCGCACAGGCCGTGCCCGGGGATGACTGTCCTCCAGGGGGGCTGCTGGTGAGAAGGGGGTCACAAGGGGAGGTGGAGTTGGGGTGACGGTGCATGTGCCCACAGAGAGGGCTCTGAGTGCCACCTCTGGCACACATGCCATAGGTTCGCCACCACTGCACTATAGCTAAATGCTGTATTTTATGAAAGCTCTGTTTTCATTGACTGAGTTCCATTCCTAGATGACAATATGTGGTCCCTTCTATTCTATTAATTGCCAGAGGAATTCATGTTAATCTGCCATGTATCTGCAAATTTATAGCAAATAATTCATTCACTATTCTTGTTTTCTTGTTCAAGGTAGAGGACGAGCTTTACAATCTACCATTTAGCGGAGATAATGGAAAACTTTGGATCAATCAAGAAGGGAATAATATTATTATCCAGTCATCTGAAGGTTTCAAAGTCATTTATGACATCGCCAACTATGTCGAAGTTTTTGTGCCTAGGATCTACCAAGAACAGACATCTGGACTTGGTGGCAATTTCAACGATAACCTTGATGATGATTTTATGCTGCCTGATGGAACTCTCACCTCAAGTGCAGATGACTTTGGAATCTCGTGGGAAGTCCCCACAATTGGCAGCATTTGCTCTGAGAACTGTGTGCAGAAATTCCCTGCTTATGATGAGGCCAGAACTTCACAATATGAAGGTGACAGATACTGTGGCCTCATCACACTTGAGTCAGGCCCATTCAAAGACTGTCATTCATTTGTGGGTCCTGCAGAGTTCTTTCACAGCTGCCTGTATGACATGCAAGTTGTTGGTGAGGGAGCTCTCTGTCAAAATCTTCAAGCTTACACAGCTAAATGTCAAGCAGCTGGAGCTGAAATTGATGACTGGAGAACAGCTGTCTCTTGCCGTAAGTTTATAAAGCGGGCTTCCCTTACAAAGGGAAATACTGCAATTTGAACTAGGTTTAAATTAATCTGGTTCCAAGGCTATGGTGATAGGAGAAGCAAACTTGACAGAATGCCTCTTATAGATACTTTAAGAAACTCCCAGTACAATTGAGATACATTCTTCATATCTAGCCTCCTTGGATGATAATCCCCAGCTGTTAAAAATTATCTTTCTTGCCAGTTTTTCTTGCAAGAGATTCTGCTTCTCCTTTTCTGGAGCTCTAAACAAAGCTTAATCCTACGCTATTTTCTTCTAATGTCAGATCACAGAAGGAGTGAGAAAAGTAGCATTAATTGTAAGACTACATTCCCAAATCCATTTCCAAGTGTTATCTTTTGATACGTCCATTTCAGATTTATTCTGTAATTGGTTTCTTGTTGACTCTGTGTTTGCAATTATTATGTGAAAAAAAGTTCCACTGGATGCAGTGAATTTAGGCAATCTATTGTGATAGAGGAAAACCAGCTTCCATAGTGTTAAGGCTTTGTCCTGTCTATATTTTTATTCAGTGCCATAAGGAAAACATTTGGCAAAACATTTCTCTTTTTACCTCTTCAGCTTTCTTCTGTCCAGCTAATAGCCACTATGAGACATGCATTAGAGCTTGTGATTCCAGCTGTGCCAGTTTCTACACTACAGTGCAGTGCACTAAGAATTGTTTTGAAGGTTGCCGGTGTAATGATGGCTACATGTTTGATGGGGATGCATGTGTACCTCTGGAAAAGTGTGGCTGTACCCATAATGGTCTCTATCTGAAGGTAAGTTAAGGCAGCCCAGTCAATTTCTTTTGATTCCTGGTGACTGCATAGATATAAGAGAAGGAATGGCAGAATATGGGGGTGGAATTAAAAGGGGCATCACCCTATAATCCCTTCATAGCCATAAGAGAACTAATTCCATCCTCCCTTGAATACCACTGACCCTTAACACCCAAGGAGCTGTTAATTGTTATTTGAGAAGGTTCTTGTGCATAGGACATAATTGGACTTTCATGTGTGGACCTGATCTTTCAGACCTCACAATAGATTAGATTTTTTCTACATGACAATCTATCCCTAACGTGCTCTTTCAGGCCTTCCAGTGGTATCCCAGTTAAGAGTCTATTTAATTTTCTTTCAGGAAAGTACCTTATAGTGGACTTGTCCATGATATTTTACGATGTAAAGGCTACTTGATGTACTGACAGTTTTTAGTTCATTCAATTGACAACTTTTCAGTCACTTGGAAAAAGCCCTACTATGTTCATTCATTTAATGTTAACAAGTGGAGAAAAAGGTTCCTGTCTGTTTCATGCAAAGATATGTCAGATATGCATGAAATATATTCGTCTCATGTATCAAGTAGAGAGGCGTGGCATTCAGTGGATGACATAAACTAAAATTTAGTTTGATTGTTGAACAAAACAAGGGGTTGTTATTTAAGCAGCTTGGGCTAATGAAGGGATTGATTTGGGCAGGTAACTGTCAATTCTACTTTACACATTATGAATAACATAGAAAGTTGTTTAATAGAACCGAAAATCAAGGCACCATCTTACTTCCTTAAGCATGTAATAGTGTCATTTTATCAATTCAAAAGAAATATTTTAGAATGCCAAATGGTTAGCAGCAGTCCCATGTCTGGAAACCTGAAAAGAAGATGAAGGAAAGTGACTGAATGAAAGGCAGAGGTGATAATGTCCCCAGTCTAAAAAGGGGGAAGGGGTGGGGGTGATGGGTTGTGTTTTGTTCATTAAACAGGTAGTCCTTGACTTACAACCACAACTGGGATCAGAATTTATGTTGCTAAGTGAAGCGGTTGTTAGGAGAGCAGCACTCACTTTTATGACCTTTTTTTGCCACGGTTGTTAAATGAATCACTGCAATATTTAAATGTGGTCATTAAGCAAATCCGGCTTCCCCCATTGGCTTTGTTTGCTGAAATCTGACTGGGAAAATTGCAAATGATATTCACAGGACCCCAGGATACTGCAAGTGTTGTAAATTTATGTCGGTTGTCAACCATCTGAATTTTGAACACCTGACTGTGGGGAGAATGCTGTGATGGTCATAAGTGCGAGGATTGATCATCACTTTTTTTTAATGCTATTGCAACTTCAACAGTTGCTAAACAAATGGTCGTAAATTCTGGACTACCTGCATATAGATCTGCTTTGTCTAATTTTGGAAACACATTTTTCATATGTTGAACATATAGAGATTGTTCCAAGGGCAATTACAGAAGGAATGGCTGTTATATTGACCATTTGGGAAAACCCCAGACAGGAATAAATGCTCTGTAAAACTGAGAAATTTCTCCCCACTCCAAGATGGGGTTGGATTGCCATGTCAATAGCAGCAGCACTAAGACTTATACACCGCTTTACATTGCTTTAGAGCAGGGGTCCTCAACCTTGGCAACTTTAAGACTTGTGAACTTCAACTCCCAGAATTCCTCAACTAGCTTTGCTGGCTGAATAATTCTGGGAGTTGAAGTCCACAAGTCTTAAAGTTGTCAAGGTAGGAGACCCCTGTTTTAGAGCACTCTCTGAATGGTTTACAAATGCCAGCCTATTGCCCCCAACAATTTGGGTCTTCACTTTAATGACCTCGGAAGGATGGAAGGCTGAGTCAACCTTGAGTTGGTCAGGATCGAACTCCTGACTGGGAGCCTGTAATAGTTAGTCTGCACTCTAACCACTTCACCACCATGGCTCATTGTACCTATTGTACATGGAGACTTAATATTATGTAACATCCAGATTACTCTATCCCAGTGTTTCTCAACCTCAACAGGTTTAATATCGATGGATTTCAATTCCTAGAATTCCACAGCCAGCATAGATGCCATTCTGATAGAAGGCCTAGCTGTGTGTAAGTCTAGTAACTCTTTCTTGTCTTTTCCATATCTTCTGCCATTGGTGAATTATCCTAATAGGCTGGAGAAAGCATCTTTTCAACCAACTGCACCAAGAAATGCAGTTGTCAGGTTCTTGATCAAATCACCTGTGAGGAAACAGCATGTCGGAGTGAAGAGATATGTGTTGTCCAAAATGGTGTGCGTGGCTGTGAGCACAGAGAAGGCCAGTGCAAAATTTCCCCAGAGGCCCAGCTTGTTTCTTTTGATGGAACTTCAGCAAGATGGAACTTCTGTGGTGGGGTTTATGACGTGTCCTCTCTGTGCGATGAGAGTGATCCCTCCTGGTTCAGGGTATCTGTGAACATCGGAAAGGACTGTGAAGATAACCTGTCAGTGGTCAAGGCTGTTCATGTTTTCTTTGGAGAGGCTGTCATTACTCTGAAAAAGAACAACCGGATATGGGTAAGTGAGAAGGCTGGGAAGAGCATCAAGCAGCTCTTAAGTCAAGCAGTAAATTGCATCCAGCATTCTTGAAAGCTGTTTTCCTTCTCTACCTTCATCTTCTATCACCAAATCTGCTAATTAGCTGAAATCTGCTCCACTTCAATGTTTCTGATGTTTATGTGTTATTCCATTCCCTTGATTGATTTTGTGATTTCTCCAACAACCCTAAAACAAACATTTAGAAAACATCTACATTCATGATCAACAATATGCATATTTTTGCATGTAAAATTCACACTTTTCCAATATCTTGAAAAATATATCCCCCATAATCATTTCTATGGGCATTTCCCCCAATTATACCTTTCCTAGTATGGATTTTTGGGGAAAGAATAATGGATTCGAGCAGAAACATTGTTGCTGTCATTCACAATAATAGCTCCAAACTGTATTTTATTTCCATGTAAATTAAAGACCAATTTCTTTGGATCCTTTCCCTATCCTCAGATTGCTTTAACTTTTTATTAGCTTACAGGAAGATGGATTATTTATTTATTAAACAAATTTATATAGCCACCCATATCACACACAAGTGAGTTTGGGTATCTTACAACAGAGATCCCCAACCTTTGGGGCACCAGGGACCGGTTCCATGGAGAAAGGTTTTTCCACAGGCCGGAGAGTGTGTAGTTTTGTGTGCTGCCTGCATCCCATCACAAATACCATGAGTCAGCAGTATTTTTGGTTTGTGTGAGTGTAGAAATATATACCGTATATTCCGGTGTATAAGACGACTTTTGAGAGCATCGAAACAGCCTCCGAACTTGGGGGTCGTCTTATACACCGAGTCGTCTTATACGCCAGAAATAAGGTAGTTTCTGGCGTATAAGATGACTTTCTAGGCATGCAACTCGGCGTCAATTGTCTTATAAGCCGGAAATAATGTAGTTTCCGGTGTATAAGATGACTTTCTAGGTATGCGACTCGGCGTCGATCGTCTTGCGACCCGGCGTTGAACTAGGTGGTCGTCTTATATGCCGGGTCACCCTATACGCCGGAATATGCGGTATGTGGCTAGAAATATATGTCATGGTTCCGATAGATGAGACCAAAAAAAAAAAAAGAACTCTGAGCCATTTGTTTTCCTCAAAGAAGAATTTTAATGGCTACATAATATCAGCACGAACAAGGGTGAAACCAAGACTAGAAGTTCCCCCCCAAAAGGTTACAAAGTAAAAATTAAACTCCCCACCCACTAAATATGTAATAAATCACATTCTCCAATTAACACCTTTGGCGGGCTCTGTAACGGTAATTCTAGCCACCAAACACCTGAGTGATTTGACCTTGGTTCCCATAAGAAAGTTATTGTTTTGTCTGGAACAGAAGAATGCATTTTCCCTCCCCCCAAAGTTGTGGCAAGCCGAAAAACAAAGAAGAAAAATAGCTGCGACCAAAAATAGTTTTGTAGGTTTGACAATACACAAAAATTGTAAACTAAATCCTAAATAAAGCTTAATTTTTTACAACTTCATTCCCCCCAAACTTGAGAAAAACAAAATGTGACCCTCTTCCATACATGCAATACGTCCTGCCCATTTCTCATTACTGTCTGTCCCATCATTACCTTGTCTTCCTTGAAAATATTAAATTCTGCCTTTGGCTATCAAAATATTCTAAACCCCCAGATTATTCACTTTAGGACAGGGGTAAGCAACCTTGGCTCTTTTATGACTGGTGGATTTCAACTCCCAGAATTCCTGAGCTAGCCACGCTGAGGGGAAAGGGAGAGGTTTCCAAGCTGAGCCATGCTGGCTGAGGAATTCTGGGAGTTGAAGTCCATGAGTCATAAAAGAGCCAAGGTTGCCTACCCCCGGTCTAGGAGATAGCCATCTGCCATTGTATATGACTAAAACCCCCCAACAAACTTATTTAATATAAAGTTGGGCAGCTTCTAATGAATTCCATGTTGGCAGACAGTTTTTTTTTGCTGTACATAAATTTCAGGACTGAAAATGTTATATTCCTGATGGCTTGCTGGGCTTTCTCAGAATGGCTTTTTATATCCCAAATATTTTATGTTTTCTAGGTTAATGGACGGTCAGTAAACCTGCCATACAAAGTCTCCAAACGTCTGACTTTAAGCAAGGATCAAGATGGGATTGTGATTGACCGGGCTTCTGATGTACAAGTTTATTTTTCTCTTGATGGTGGGGTAACAGTGAAAGTCAAGGATATTCTTCCAGAGAAGCTATGTGGACCGTGTGGGAACTTCAATGGGGACCCCACAGATGACTGGAAATTGCCACATGGGGAATCTGAGCACACTGCTGAGGTTCTCTATGCTTGGAAGGCCAAGGACTTTTAAAATGGTATGGTATAATTCAGGCAAAAATCTTGGCAGATCTTTAAAAAAAAAATAGCAGGATTGGACTTGCATTGGGGACATCAGGAAATCTAAGATTATAGGCTAAGCTAGGATTTGAAAACTTGCAGCAGAGGAAGGCATCAGCAAACTGTTTTTTTTTTTTTTAAAGTTGCCAGCTGGTGTTGACTCAAAAGGGTCTTTAACTTTTATCCTGTCTAATAAAATAACTGAAAGCAGATGAAAAATGTTACGTGCAGTTTGTATCTAAATTTACATAAAATATAGCATTGGTTCCTGAGCTAGTTGAAGGTCAGACTGGGAAGGTGTTGAAGGTGCTCTTTTTTCCCCCAGATCTGCATGGCAGAAGATTAAGTAGGGTAATCAACTGCCTTCCTTGGACACACAGATATAATGAATGTATGTGAAATTTGTCAGTTCCCTAGTCAAATTTAAGTTTGCTGCATCTGCTGCAGTGAGTTAAATAAGCCATTTCTTAATTAAGTTTCCTAACAGAGCAAAACCTGTTTTTATTTTGTAATGCCTTGTTTAATGAACCTTAAATTAACATTCAGCCAACAATTAAAAGTACTAATCAAATTAAGTGCTCATTGCCACGATGAATAATGTACAATAATTATAAGTGGAATAATCATGCAGCACAAAATTATCATTTATAGGATTGCATCAGTTTTCAGCTTTGGTTTTTACTGCCCTATGCAACTGCTGTACCTTAGCATGTTAGTCTCCATTCTTAACTTGTTCTGTTATCTGTCCTATTGCGGATAGATAATGTTTGTACCAAGCTAGGAAGCCAAAGGGTAAAGCCAAAATTTACAAGTTATTTAGACCTCAAAAACTAATTGCTATTTTGGTGGTTCCCTTGTTGAATGTCTTCTCCAATGAGTTTCAACTCAGTGCTGCTGATTGATCTATTAAAGAAGGATCATTACTTCTAAATAGGGCCGTCACCTCTAAGGTAATCTCAGCTGGTTGTGAGTTCTAACTGATTTACTTGATTAAGGTGGGGCAATTTAATCGACTCTCAAACTAAGTATGCATATGAATGATGCAAAAGAAATTAAAAGTTTTGGGTAGATGATGCACACATCCCCATAGGCCAGCACAATAGATTCGCTAACACAGGGGTCTTCAAACTTGGCCCTTTTATGACTTGTGGACTTCAACTTCCAGAATTCCTCAGCCAGGCAAGGGCCAGATTTGAAGACCCCTGCTCTAACACAACAAGGTCCAGATACTTTGGTTGACATCAGTCTTCGTTCTTGATTGGCCATACTGACTTTTAGGCCTATCATCCATTGAATTCCTAATTCTATATAAATTTTCATCAACATATTAGGCACTTTTAAGGTAATCCCAATGTTCTCTAATGAATTACTAATAAATGTCCACTTATTACTTGATGCCTTGCAGAAAGTGGATGAGTTATTCCCATTGAGTTTTATCGATGGTCTTATTGACTTTGTGAATTGATTTTGCAATTTTGCAAATAGCCTTGGAACCATTCGAGAAAGGGCAGCATGTGAATATTTGCTGCTTTCTTTTTCTAATGCATTTTAATATCCTAGCAACCAAGGATGAATTTCTAATGACAGAAATTGTAAGATGATAATCTTAAACCATAATGTGCAGAATGCAGAAGTTTACCTACAAAGGGCAAGAGCTATTAGTGCCATATAATAGCACTGTACTCTACCAGTCACCATGTTGATTGCCAATATGCTTCAGAGTGCAGTTCAAAGTGCTATTTTTTTAACCTCTCAAGCTCATAAGATCTTGGTGCTTTTTTTTAATCTATGCAGGACCAGCTGCTTCAAGGAGAACCAACCTGTTCAGTGTGTTCTGCCCTAGAGGGGCATATCACTTTAATCCAATGAGATCTGAAGAATGAGGGGACAAGCACACTGCATTTCCACTGATATTCTGGTGAACTATATGGTACCCTCTCTTGAACTTTCTGGAGGATGTCCAGACAAAGCTCTTAGAATGTTTGCTTTTCAAAAACTTCTAGAAATGATCAGATGACTGGGGTTGTTTTTTTCTTTTTGCTGTGGTGGTGATATGTTCTTTATTTTATGGATTTTACATATTGTAGACTGCTGGGGATGGATAAAAATTAGACTTTGTATAAGTATCACAATATGAATGAATAAATGGACGAATGATGCCAAACATAATGAGGAACTCATTTTTAAAACAATGTGGTATTTTCTGTAGGTTATAAGAACAATGGTTCTATAAAATGGTAACTGAGCAGCTTCTGGCTTTCATTGTTTATTCTGCGATAATGGCAATAGTTTATTATCTTCTTTGGGGAATGTTTATCTTATATGCTAGGATTATAGGATTTGGGACTCTTCAGATGATGCTAAGCTGCAATTCCTAGCATTTTTTATCATTGGCTATACTAGCTAAGACTATTGGGAATTGTCATTTAACTTTATTTAAGCAGTCAACTCTATCATAAAATATTCTAGCTAATAAAAAGGCACAAATAAACCAGGCCAAATTAGCATATTTTGGACACTACATTTTCTCCTATCTCTTGGGAAGTCTGTAATGCCATAAAAGCTACAAAGAAAGAAAAGAAGACAGCTAACAGTATGGTGGGTAGATTACAGCCATAATGAGTAAATAGTTGGAAGACTCAAAGAACCAGATTGGAAACAGATTATCATTCTGGAGAAGATGGTCACCAGTGCTGGTCCTGACTTAGTGACACACAATAAGACTGAAAATGGCCATAGTGGAGTTGATAACCTGATCACCATTTTTTAAATTGTTAAAAGAGAGCTGAAACATTCTTTAAGACCTAGGAAGCAAGATAATATTGGAAACAACTCAGGGAAATGACTCCTTGATTCACTGGAGTATAAGAAGGAAGGGAAGTATGGCACATTCAGACTTTCGACATTCTGTTATACAGGTAGTCCTTGACTTACAACCATTCATTTAGAGCCATTCGAGTTACAATGGCACTGAAAAAAGTGACTTATGACCGTTTTTCACACTTATGACCGTTGCAGCATTCCCTTGATCACATGATCAAAATTCAGACATTCGGCAAGTGGTTCATATTTATGATGATTCCAGTGCCCTGGAGTCACGTGATCATCTTTTGTGACCCTCTGACAAGCCAAATCAATGGGGAAACCAGATTTACTTAACAACCATATGACTAACTTAACTGCAGTGATTCACTTAACAACTGAAGAAAAATCATAAAATGGAGCAAAACTCACTTAACAACTGTCTCACTTAGCAACAGAAATGTTGGGCTCCATTGTGGTCGTAAGTCGAGGACTACCTGTCATAGCCTACTTCAATAAAGCATAGTCCTAGTCTTCCTGTGGAGTTAATTTCCTAAGCTGGTCCACCTAGTGCAGGGGTCTTCAAACTTGGCCCTTTTATGACTTGTGGACTTCAACTCCCAGCATTGGAGTCCACACGTCATAAAAGGGCCAAATTTGAAGACCCCTGACCTAATGGGATTGATATTAAAAGGATTGAGATCCAATGGTATAGTGGTGTAGGTGCTGGATTAGGAACCAGGAGACATGGGCTGTATTCCTCCTTGGGCCTGTAAATTACCGGGTGACCTTGGCATACAGTTAGTCCTCAATGCATGGTCACAATTGAGCCCAAAATTTCCGTTGCTAAGCAAGACATTTGTTAAGTGAGTTAAAAGTTCATCTATCTATGCCAAACATAGATGAAGGACTCATTTTTAAAACAATATGGTATTTGCTGTAGGCCAGTGGTGGCAAACCTATGGCACGCGTGCCAGAGGTGGCACTCAGAGCCCTCTCTGTGGGCACGCGTGTCGTTGCCCCAGCAGAGTTTGCCAGAGTAGCGAGCATGTGGTGTTTGGAAACGACAGGGCAGGAAGTGAGCGAGAGCAAGCAGTGTTGGCCCCTCGGGGATGTCCTGGAGATGGCGAGGGACCGGCCCCTGCTGTCCTGGTCCTGGCCACGCTCACCAAGTCTGCTGTGACTACTGCGATGCCCCCCCCCAGCCCCCTGAGGGCACCACAATGCTGATGCAGCCCTAGCACTTTTCAATAAATAAGTGGGTTTGGGGTTGCAGTTTGGGCACTCAGTCTCTAAAAGGTTCGCCAACATTGCTGTAGGCTATAAGAACAATGGTCCTATAAAATGTTCTTGCATATTTCTGTCACGGTCATTTCCCTTATTCCCTACATTTCAATATAATTTAAACAAAGAAATGACATCTTTAATTTTTCTTCTGACTCTGGTTTTTTTTTTTTTTTGCAATGCATCCATGACAGGACATTCAAAAGTTAAGTTAAAGTATCCTGGTAGAGCAGTAAATACTATTTGGTCCTGTTTGAGAATTATATTAGGAATGAAGATTAAATGTTCAGATTGTTTCATTCTGTTCTTCTGAAAACAAACACAGTGAACATTTCTGTGTTATCACAGTTTATAGGATGAAAAAGACAGTGTTTTTCAGCTTCCCGTAGAAACAATTGGCATGTCCACGTTTTCATTGCAATATGCATCATTGTTAGCTTGCAAAGGTCAGTAGCCTTCTCTTCCTTCCCTGCTTCCCTGCCCACATAATTCCCATTAAGCTATGTGGGAAAACCCCACTAGGCTTCACGTACTCGTGATGTTTCTGTAATTCTACATTTCTCTTCAGTGGGTATCAGTCATCCCCTATCAAATATTATTATTTGAACAGTGGAGCCACCAAATGCAAAAGGTCTTCGATGGACATTTTGAGAAGTATAGTGTGGAAAGAGATGTCCAAGGCTGCCACCCTGTGGAATATGAAACAACTATAGTGTCTAGTGATGTTCATGACATTAATGTTCCTAGGATTTAAATTCCTAGCTCTTGCCATACAGAAGGTAGCCAATGTCTGCAGCTAGTAATCTCTGCATTCTTGTTTTGAAGAGAGGAATGAAATTCAATATTCTTATAAATATCAATCACATTACATGCCAGGTCAAGTGTGGGGGCGGTGTGTGTGTGTTTCACTGGTGTGAAAATGTCAGCTGGTTATCAGCGGTATGGATTTGTGCTTTCTCAGAAGTGATTTCCCTGCTGGCTTTCTCTTGATATTTTTGCAGATGAAGAATCCAATATTCCTTGAATTGTTTCCTTAAGGTCTAACAACACAATTTAGAGATCATGGTGGCTTGTTTTGTGGGAGTTTAGCAAGCCCATGTTTGAGACCCGAGTGCTGCTGCGGGACAGGGTTGAGCTCCGCTCCCATCCTGCTAGAGTTATGAAAGGAGCTCCCAACTGGACGTCCTCCGGGCAACAATGATGTCACCTGCTAACCCTTTCAACCTGGAAATGCCTTGGTGCTTCTGACATGAGTGCTTTGCTACAACAAACCTCTTCTCACTCCTTTCTTGGGAATGAAGATTGAGGACCATGGTCTTCCATGATTAAATCACCCAGGGGACAATATACATCGAGCCTGAAGCTTCCTGTGGCACCTGATGGGCTTTGGTTTCTACTTGCTTCAAAGTTTGGGATAATTAATGCCCATGCAGAGAAAAGATCACGAAACAAAGTTCATTACAGAACAAAAAGAACCTTACTTCTTTTTAAGGGAGACCTTAATTAAAAAAACTCCAAGCAAGTAAAATAAGGAACTAATGCACACTAGAGTAGTTAGCAAGCTTTGGTACCACACAGACTAATTTCTAAATTCTAAGCCTTAAATATCATGGCTGGCTAGGGCAGAGGTCTGCAACCTTAAACACTCAAAGAGCCACTTGGACCCGTTTCCCAGAGAAAAGAAAACACTGGGAGCAGCAAAAGTTGTGTGCACGCGCGAGGGGGGGGAGCTTGACTGAAGAGTTTAATTAAAAAGAAACAGAGGCTGCTGTGCATGAGTTCTCTCTCTCTCTCTCTCTCTCTTTCTCTCTCTCTCCTCTCTCTCTCTTTCCTCTCCCTCTCCCTCTCTTTCCTCTCCCTCTCTCTCTTTCTCCCTTTCCTCTCTCTCTTTCCTTTCCCCCTCTCCTTCCCTCTCTCTCTTTCTTCTCCCTCTCTCTTTCCTCTCTTTTCTCTCTCTCTTTCCTCTCTCTTTCTCTCTCTTTCCCTCTCTCCCTCTCTTTCTTTCTCTCTCTTTCCTTTCCTCCTCTCTCTCCCTCTGTCTCTTCCTCTCTCTCTCCCCTCTCCCTCTCTCTCTTTTTGCTCTCTGTCGTCTCTCTTTCTCTCCCTCCCTCTCTTTCTCCCTCCCTCCCTCTCTGCCTTTCTCTGATCTTCTGCTCACCTCAAGCTTCCAAAATATATTTAAGATGGACAGTATTTAATATTTATTTGCTATGTATATGTAGGGATGTGGGTCTATACATATGTTGTTCATAGTATGTTAGGTGTGCGTCATGTATGTGTTTCACTTTGAGAGCGGGCAACTAAATTTCATTTTTGATGTGTGCTGTTGTGCCCACAGTAAAATAATGACAATAAAGGTTATCCTATCTTATCTTATCTTATCTTATCTTATCTTATCTTATCTTATCTTATCTTATCTTCTTATCTTATCCAACAAGCTGACGCACCTTCTTATTAGGAGGGCTCTCTCCTGCCCTTCCTGTTTCCTGTTTCCTGCTTCCTGCAGAGATGCAGCCAAGGAAGGAGCCCTGCCCAATAAGCTTGTCAGCTCATCGGAGAACAGAGTGAGGCCACTCTCTCTCTTTTTCTCTCTCTTTCCTCTCTCTCTCTCACTCTCTCCCTCCCCTCTCTCTTCCTCTCTCCGATCTTCTGCACATCTGGCAAGCAGGCTTCAAGTTGTTCTCCAACAGCCCTTCCTGCTTCCTGCACAGATGCAGCCAAGGCAGGAGCCCCACCCAATAAGCTTGTTAGCTTGTCAGAGAACATGGTAAGGCCACTCTTTTTTTTTACAGAGAGAGAGAGACGGGGGGGAGGGAGAGAAGGGAAGTGCAAGTGCCTCTCTCTGTCTCTCTCTGCAAATGGCAGAGGAGGCTGTGAGCTACAGGATATGGCTCAAAGAGCCGCATGTGGCTCCAGAGCCTTGGGTTGCTGACCCGTGGGCTAGGGAATTCTGAGAGTTGATGTCCATATATGTTAAAGTTGCCAAGGTTGAGAAACACTGATCTACACATATTAATCAGAATTGCAGCTAGAAGGGATCTTGGAGGTCTTCTAGTCCAACCCCTTCCTCAAGCAAAAGACCC